CGGGGAGACGCCGCTGATGAGGGCGGTGTGTAAGGGCGAGGAGGCGATGGTGCAGATGCTGCTCTCACACGGCGCCGACGCCAAGGTCGCGGACTCGCAAGGACAGACCTCCCTGCACCACGCGGCTTGCACTGGCCAGTTGGACATCGTGCGCCTGCTACTGGAGGCCGCAGCCAAGCCCAACGTCGCCGATACGGACAGCGGGGAGACGCCGCTGATGAAGGCGGTGAGGGAGGGCGAGGAGGCGGTGGTGCAGATGCTGCTCTCACACTGCGCCGACCCCAACGTCGCCATGACGAAGAGCGGGAAGACGCCGCTGATGAAGGCGGTGAGGGAGGGCGAGGAGGCGGGGGTGCAGATGCTGCTCTCACACGGCGCCGACGCCAACGCCGCGGACTCGCAAGGACAGACCTCCCTGCACCACGCGGTTTGCTCTGGCAGGCTGGACACCATGCGCCTGCTAATGGAGGCCGATGCAGATCCAAACGTCGCTGAGATGAAGAGCGGGGAGACGCCGCTGATGATAGCGCCGTGGCAGGGCGATAAGGCGGTGGTGCAGATGCTGCTCTCACACGGCGCCGACGCCAACGCCGCGGACTCGTTCGGTGAGACCTCCCTGCTCATCGCGGCTTGCTACTCTGACTGGCTGGACATCGTGCGCATGCTACTGGAGGCCGGCGCAGACCCCAACGTCGCCGCGACGAAAAAAGGGAGGAGTTTTACCGCGTTGCACTACTCCTGTGATCGACTTCATATCGAGGTAAAACTACGGGCGTACGTTGCGAATGATTGAGACCGAATTTTAGCAATGTTCTAATGTATTTTCTTATAGATGGTAAAGGTAATCAGGAATAGTAATCGGTTAACAGTTAATAATAGATATGTTAAATAGTTTTACCGCATTACACTACTCCGGCAATCTACTCGGGACCGAGGAAAAATGTGGGCGTACGTTGTAAACGACGGAGACAATTTTAGCGATTTTTCAATGTATTTTTGTCTAGATAATAAAGGTATTCAGTAATAGTAATCGGTTACTAGTTAATAATTTAATAATAGTAATAGTTAGTAATCGGCAACAGTAATAAAGGTAGTATGCTCGGAGAAACTTGTTCTTTAAGGAACGAACCTAAAATCGGATTGCTAACGATCCTCGTTTCTTTTGTTCACACAGATGAGTACTCACCTCTTGAAACACGGAGCTGACCCGAACCTCGTCGATTGTAAAAAGAGGGCGCCGCTCACTATAATAGGCAGCCAGGTGAAAAGACCCAGAATGAGTGAGCGAGCAGCACAAGCGGCATCAGTGGTACAAGCGGCGTCAGCTCTCCTACAGACGTGCGAGTCCACCGGCGTACTTCTACAAGTTAACACGCGCGACAGCAAGGGCGACACCCCGCTGCACAGTTTCTGTAGGATGATTCTCGCATGCAAAGACAATGTTTACGCGCGACAGAGGGAGGGGTGCGTGCTGATAGTGCACGCGCTGCTGTTCAACCACGGTGCACACGTCGACGTGGTGAACGCACGGGGAAAGACGCCGTACGAACTCTGGCGCCAAATTTATCCGACGTGTTTCCGCGGCAACGTGGAGTCGAGCGACGAGATACATGGCAGAATGAGCGCGCAGTATCATTCGCTGAAGTGCCACTGCGCGCGCTTTATCGTCAGACACAACGTTGCATACGAGAACAGGCTGCCTCTGAGTCTCATAGAATTTGTCAAGGCACACGCTAGACCAACGTAGGCGACACTAAGCATGTTAACCGAGGAAGCCCATGTAGGATTATCAGGATCAGGGATGCGATAACCCAGAAGATATTATCAATACTTGGTAGATCTATGTTCTAATTGTTGTACGTGTTGGCAGACGTGTTTCATAGCAATGTAAAATCGAGTATATTTAGTAACACTATTCAGTTTATATAGAAATGTGTAGATTATCGGTATGATGCATTGGTGAATTGGCGCGATTTAATAACTACGAGTACAAATGTTAAAAGTTTGCAAATCATTTTGCTCTGTAAAAAAACTCTAAAGGTTTAGTTGGGTTCTGAATATTAAAAAAGCACAACTATTTTACCATAAAATGTATGCAATTCGGAAAGTACTTATTACCACCAGAATCACATATTTGATGTGCTCCTGCTACCACACACCACCAAAGAATACAACCATTAATGACCCACTGTTCAGACGATCTACTTTTCATAAGGTACCCATTAATAGGGTGTATATATATCTTTATTAACTCCTGATATATATATATATATATATATATATATATATATATACTATAGACTGTATATGCAGTCCAACCATAGACTGAAGGGACACTACGCCCTAGACTTATAGGGAATAAGCCTGTTATGTTTGATGTTCATACATGTGCATAATCAACGCAGATATTTTTTTTAATAACTGGAATGCTTCCACACCATGCGTGCATACCACGCGACACACACGTTGTTCTCGACGCGACATCTGGCGGTAATATATCATAACATCTCCCTTCTTTAATAAAAATAAACATTTCCTGCGTGAATGCTTCATAGGTATGCACTAGAAGTGTATATTTAACTCAAAATCAAACATAACAAAGCCAAGCGAATACTCACGTACGTACTCACTGCCTGCTTGATCTTTGCCCTTACCTTGAAGCTGCGCTGAGGTGGCCATGACACCTGTGTCACAACGTGTGCTTCGGACCGCGCTAAACATTGTTTAGCAAGATTTTAATCATTGGCAAGCGTGCAATTACGTTATAAACATGGCGGACGGACAGCGATCAATCTCCGACGTGAATGCGATGGACTACGAAGAGTTTATTCGCGTGTTCGGGAACGGTGTAGAACGCGGTGCGTACATAGCAGCTGCTATATACGAGAACAGGCCTTACAGAACCGCAGCACACATACACGCTTCCTTGTGCCAGTTCTTAGACGGCCAACCTGCTCCATGTAAGTATGTATACTAATCTATATATAGCGCGTTCACACGTAGCAAAATCCACGGTTCGTACGCGTACGAAACAGAGTTTCGTACGTACTCGCGATAAATTTCCCTTGTCTGAACGACCACGTATAGCTATACTCAGTGTGAAACGCGATCACTATCCTGACAAAATGAGTGCGTTTCCTATACGTACTTCGTATACTAGCTATACGCGTATAGCGGACGTGTGAACGACCGGCTATAGCTATACGCGTATAACAATAGGAAACAAAGCGCTGTCGACGGTCTACGAGAAAATGTTAGTGTTACGACTAATGTTAAGACTAATTTTGTTTCTGACAACGGGCCCCTGGACATCATCTCTATCCTTGAACCAATTAATGCATAAAGTTATAAATGTGGCATAATTGGTTGTGACATGTATGTAATGACTGTCACAAACATAAAATTTGTTTTCGAAAATGGGTTACTGTATACTGGTACCAGCAACAGCACACAGTTGTTGTTGACTACATGCAATTTTTTAATGCCATAAACTATAGTACACTGTTTGTGTACAGCGAAGTACGTACATTCCAAAACTACGTATGAACGCTGTTTAACTCAAGGTCACGCTATACGCGTATCGTACGGAGTCCGTAAGATACGCGTTCGAAACTGGGGTTTACGGTACGTGTGAACGCGCTAATAGACATATTAGGACTTAGTGAGTCTTGTGACAGTGAGATAATGTTTCTTGTGAGATACTTGGACAGTCAGCCAAATGTAGGTATATAAGTACTAAATTATATAGGTATAGTTATAGTGAGATTTTTAAACAGTCAGCCCAATGTATGTAAGTACTAATTATTATATGTTTGAGATTATTTACTCCTGATATATATTTGTGTGAGTGCGCGCGTGCATGTGTGTGCGCGCGTCCGTGCGTGCGTGGGTGTGCGCGTCCGTGCGTGCGTGGGTGTGCGCGCGTCCGTGCGTGCGTGGGTGTGCGCGTCTGTGCGTGCGTGGGTGGGCGCGCGTCTGGTGCGTGCGGGTGTGCGTGCGCGGTCCGTGCGTGCGTGGGTGTGCGCGCGTCCGTGGCGTGCATGGGTGTGCGCGGCGTCGTGCGTGCGTGCGGTGTGTGCTACGCTAGACTGAGACTAAGTGTGAACTCTACTCTTGACTCTAGCATGCGCACTCCACAGGCACACCGAGACGTTAGCTGAGTGATGTAGGTAGCGGTTACCCTGGAACGACTGTGTAAAGTGTGCACTGTGTAAGTGTGTATATAACTGGCTGGCAGCCAGGCTATTCGCGATATCAAATTGCGTATAGCGAGGCAGAACTGGTTTCGCTGTGTATATATAGGAATGTCCGAATGAGCGCGTTGAATAGTGAATGTCAGTGTAATGTGAATATTCTCAGTGTAGTGTGAGTGAATGTCTCGTGTAATGATGTAGTTGAATAGTGAATGTGAGCGCGTTGAATAGTGAAAGTCAATAATACCTCCGCCAAGGACGTTGTTTTCCGCCTGTTGTTTAATGTTTGTTGGTTGGTTTTGTTGTTTTGTTTGTCTGTCAACAGGATATGTCAAAAAGTTACGGTACGGATTTTGATGAATTATTGTTTTGGACGGGTTGGTCTTGCGGCAACAACCAGTGGATTTAGATTTTGGTGATTGATCCGGATCCAGATCTGGACACAGGATTTTTTTTAAATTGTAAATTTTTTAAGTTTTTTTTGTGGGGAAGACTTTGGACGCATTAAAAGTTCATCAAAAAACCTGGATTTTTTTTTTTTTAATTTCTGAAAGCTTCATCAAATCTATATTGGCTGTACCATGCAGCAACCGTTGTTATAATAATTAGGAAGCACATGCGTTCAGTTGGGCAAATGTCTCTCTATTACACAATACATTCCGAACACGATTCTGTATAGATATAGGGGAAGGTAGGTGGAATGAAGTATATAGCTAGCAAGTTACAGAAGGTTTTGTGCATTTAATTTTAATTGCAATATAAAGCATATATAATAATAATACTTTTATTACTATATATATTATAATATATATATATAATTGCATTTATAAAGGTTTAATTCGTGCATTTGTATGCTTTATCTGTCTATACATACTACAGCAAACATATGTATGTTAATGGGGGCGATACTGGCGTCGTTCGGCTCGTACCAGCGTAGCGCGCTACCGGCTCGGATGTATGGCCCGGTGCTGGCCCGATTCTGGCTGATACCGCTAACTGCTCAGCTGTACTGGCCCGTTACCCGCACCGGGCCGCTTTATGGCGCGACATCGGGCAGTACAACTGAAACGTTACCGGTATGGCGGTGCCGAACTAAACGATGGCCCTAATAGGCCAGATAATCCTGCCCGGTATTGGGCCAGTTAGTGGCAGTGCTTCCATAGTCGACGCGATACGTGCTATCTGGCGATAATCATAATAATTATATTTGAAATAATTATACCGTTAGCATGAAAGACAGAACTCTTGCATTATTATTACTAGTAATATTTTGTATACTTAGTATAGTAACACATTAATGTGCCATTACTGTGCCAGTCCAGTGTGTGGAAAGGGGCTAATTGGTAATAAGATTTTTTTTATAAAACAATGTCTTATTATATGTTGTATATGTATATATATATGTATATGTATATGTATATGTGTATGTATATGTATATGTATATATGTTTTATTGAACGGTGATATTATAACATATGTATAGTAAAATGTGTGAAGTATTCGATGAAAAAGAAAAATCTAACGAAATTTAAACAAGTGTGCTTAGACCATCTTCTATCCCTATATCTATGTGCTATATATATATATATATATATATATATATATATATATATATATCTATATATAATAGTGGAAGGAGCCGAAGTGTCGTTTTACGTATCTCCTCCGGAAACCGTGCCGCGTGTGCTGCGCGCGAATCGAGCTGGGCCCCTTTTGGGCGTCGCGACTAGATTCCGTACGTTAGAACGCGATTTTTGACGTTGTGACTTTTTCAGGCAATTTCCTAAAAGAGTTATGTGCCCGAAAGAAACTTCGCATTCATCGGCGGAAACCCGCACCAACTTTTAAGATCGGCAAAATTCCGCATGCGCATGCAGTCCAAGCAGAGTAAGTGAATCACCTTGTGATTGACGTGCTCTCATCGAAACCGCGCACCAAATTTTAAGATCGCAATCCGCATGCGCAGTAAATCACAGCATGTGAATCATGCTAGCCGAACGTGGCAGGTGTGTGCGGCGCGTGTGTAAAAACTGTACATGTATGTAATGATATGTATGTATGTGTTGTGTGTGTTGTGTGTGTGTGTGTGTGTGTGTGTGTGTGTGTGTGTGTGTGTGTGTGTGAGTGTGTGTGTGGTGTGTGTGTGTGTGTGTGTGTGTGTGTGTGTGGCGTGTGTGTGTGCGTGTGTGTGTGTGGTCGTGTGTGTACAACTGTACATGTATGTATGTATGTATGTATGTATGTATGTATGTATGTATGTATGTATGTGTGTGTGTGTGTGTGTGTGTGTGTGTGTGTGTGAGTGTGTGTGTGTTGTGTGTGTGTGTGTGTGTGCGTGTGTGTGTGCGTGTGTGTGTGTGTGTGTGTGTGTGTGTGTGTGTGTGTGTGTGTGTGTTTGTGTGTGTGTGTGTATGTATGTGTGGGCGTGTGCGTGTGCGTGTGCGTGTGCGTGTGCGTGTGGTGTGTGTGGCGCGCCGCCGTGTGTGTGTGTAAATGTGGTATGGTGCGCTGACATTTTTAGACCCGTTTTCGATTGTTTTAAGAGAGCACACAC